TCAAATCCCTACAAATCAACACTTGAATAACCAGTTTTATCCCAAAATATTCAGACGGCTTGTGGTATTCTCCCCTATATTGTAAATTAGCAGAATTTAAAATTCAAGGGTCATTGTATTGCAACGCAATAACTAGATGGTCGACAGGATTACCTCGTAATTTGAAGCTCTCTAGTGTTGTAGTAATGAGTACGTGCTGATGAAGAGTACCAAACTAGAACGAAACAGCTGTCCAATAGTGATGATTCTCTAATGATTCTCTAACTGACGTCAGTTCATAACATGAATTTGAATCAATTCAATGCCTGCAAAACAAACATTTTAAGCAAGTAAATCCACCTGATAAATATTGTGGGGAAACATTAATCTTTTGTAAACCTACTAGGAAATAAACAGTGCATCTCTGTTACCGATTGGCGAAGTTAGAGTATCATAGAAAAAGTCAGAGTCTTTCAAAAGTTGACCTTCAAGAAGCGATCAGACACAGGGAATGCTACGAAATATCATATCTGTCTTTTTGGACTTGGAGAGGATAGATACAGAATTCTACTTGTTTATTGGGTACTTTCTCTGCAAATCTATACTGTTAGGTAGGGCTATGACGTTCAAGACTAAGGTTTAGGGTCTAGGCTTAGGAGTTAGGATTATGGTTAGAGATAGGAGTAGGTTGGAGAATAAAGTTAGAAATACCAATGGATCTCAACGCATTATGACACGTACAGTCATCTGAAGGAATGGGTATATCGATCATGGTATGATTTCTCTATAGATCGTCTCTGTATTGACTGGAAAATATTCTTACAACACATAAAATACAACTATACAGTGTGTTATCAAGTTTGCAATATTTTCTTTAGTGTATTTTTCTGAGATTATACGACTTTCTCGCATCTGAATTCTGATTGGTTGTTCAAGGTCACTATGGTTTCGGTAATAATAGTTTAACTTTGTCACCAACTTTATTCCCAGAATAAAGAAACCTTTTACAAAATAACAACATTCCACCGTGAATTTTGGCAATGATCGAAATCAATCAAAGAAAATAGAAAAGGATAGGTTGGCAGAACTTAGCACTAGCTTAGATTTTCTCCCGTAAAACTATATACTACTGATTCATGGTGAGTAGTTACATGCCATTCGTAACAACCAGTGGTATCTGCTAGGCAGATCGAGGTGATGTTAACACCAGACGACCATTTCGTTGATTCGCGACCGAGTTCTTCATTGGTGTATCCTATTTGGGTCAACTTAAAGAGCCAAATCATTTCATACTACCCGATAACTCGATTTTAAACATCATCAGTTGACTAGAAGTCGGGTGGTTTGAACGTGTTTGGGAACAGTATTCAGCCTGACTAGTAAAGGCAGAACGCAATTGTGTACATAGTTCTGTAACAGAACATGTGTTGAACTCAGGACATGCAGTTCTATTTGAAAAGTGGTTCAAAGTAATATGCAACATCCACTAAAACTTCTTAAAGGGAGTGTGATCAAGGTATCTGGGCGTAACTAAGACACTAACGATCTGAAACTTCATGCCCAAGTTATGTTTTCGGAAGAAATACGTCCAACTGTTGTCTCTACTGTGATCATCATTTAAGGTCAATTCTCGCAATAGTGATTATCCTATCACCTTTCTTTATCCAGTCTTTCTGTTTATTTCTGTTATTTTTACGTTTTTAATCCCCATTTGCACTATTGTTTATTTTATTCATACATTTTGTATATTTTGTTATTGAATAAAAGTTAGTTTTCTCAATAATTATGATCCTGTTATGTTTTTTATTACACTCTTTTACCTATCAGCGATTTTTTAACAGTTTGATGGGAAATAGTTCTGGTGAAGGTATGTAGATGACACATTCATCAGTGTACTTAGAACACAAGATATAAATAGATTTTTCGAACACATCAACTCGAAGGTAGAGGCAATTCAATTCACTTATGAGTTAGAAAGTCAGGAAGGGGGGCTTCCAATGTTAGATTGCAACGTAAAAAGGAAAGAAGATTGGAAGTTAAACGCTAGTGTTTACAGGAAACCCACACATTCAAACAGACATTTGGATTTCAGATCACCCCACCCTACGCAAGTGAAAATAGGAGTGGTAAAATGTTTAAGTAATAGGGTGCAAAAACTAAGTAGTACCAAGGAAAATCTAAGACAGGTAGTAAGGCATATAACAGAAGCTCTGAAACTTAATAATTACCCGGATAAATTAGTCAGGAAATATGTAAGGAAATGCAAAAATAAAATAAATAATGATAGTAGTGATAGTGATAATAATAATAATAACAAAAATGTTGATAATAATAATACTGATAATAGTGATATTAATGACGACACCAACAGTAAGGAATCTAAATCATCAGTAGTAATTCCATACAAGAAAGGAACCTCGGAAGCTTTACGCAAAATTCTTAACAAGGCAGGAATAAAAGTGGCGTTCAAACCCACAAACTCAATTAGAAACAAGCTTTGTCGGTTAAAGGATCCTGTGGCGCCTTTGAAACAAAGCATTTTAGTCTATCTATAATACCCTGCAATGATTTTCAGGTCAAACACATAGGTCAAACTAGTAGAACAGGGACAGTCAGACTAGCCGAACATAAAAACCTAGCGAAATCTAGATTAGTTGATCCACATAAGATAAGAAATCTAGAGAATAGCTTAGCTATAGCACTACATGCAGTCACACACAACCATACAATAGGCTGGATGGGATAGGATGATAGTTTTAAAATCTTATGTCACAGGGTGGAGAGATAGATTGATAACAGAAGCTTTGTTTATCGAATCAACTGCAAATACATGTAATAGAAATGATTTAACATCTGTCCCAGATATCTAGAAAATTATACTACCCGATGATGACAAATAGGAGAAGACAAAGAAAACTATAAAACTCAAATTTCAAAGTTGTGTGATTACAGTTGATATGATTATGAACAATAAATTTTGTTCAAAACGTCATCCAGTAAATAACAAAACTGTTTCACTGTGTGATACATCTAATAAACAAACTAATATGAAATTACTTACTACCATAGTGCCCAAGTTTTATACATATATTAATAGTTCTGAAACTTTCTGACTCATTTATTATAATTACTGGAATTTACAGCCAGGTTGGTGACTTCGTCGAAAACAAAATAATCTTCACTGCAAACATCTTTTTGCATATTTCTCTGAGTTGAGTCAAACCGGGTACACTGCTGCCTTTCGGTGTTTCAATCACCTCGATCTGGCCAGCGAGCACTAATTGTTGATTTTTACGAGTTGATTACGGATTGATATCAGTTGGAGAACCATTGAAAACCAGCACCGGAGTACTGGACAGCTGATTCCTCCTAGTTTAGAAATCATCGGTAGTACGCACCCACCACAGGGGGTTCGAACCCAGGACCTTCCTGTTACAAGGGAGGCTAGTATACCATTCAACCGCCGGGACCCGATTCGCTGGCCAGTCGACGAATTCTAACTTCTACCAATTCGTGATTTAGCGCAACCACTAACCGATGTCATCGGTGGGACATTCATCCTCACATGTGACATCCGGATGGACCTCACTGGTCATGACTTCTCACTAGAACTGCAGGAAACTTCGTCCTGTAGCAAGTCACTAGCAAGCATGAGATTAATTTTCTATGGTTGGTTTGTAAAGACTAGTTTTGTTTTCACAAAACTTTACAAAGCTCGTGAGTTGTTGTCACTAGACAGATTCAATTGCACAGACAAACTGAAGACGACGCCTAGTGATATTTTACAAAAAAAGTGTCTTTTAAGCTGTAGACAGCTAACCTAGCACGCAGTGGCCCGAACATTCTCAATAGTTACCAGGTCACCTAATGACACGGCAAATTAGAGATAGATAGTATTGATTTCATAGGAATGTCGGGCTTATTCACCGTTAGTACGTTTTAAGGGTAGGATAATATGCATGCTTTACGCGTTGGTTCATTCTCTGTGCAGCTGTCAATAAACTACTCCAAAATGTCTCTTAATTTCTTCACAATTCCTCTTTCAATCGACTCAGTTAGATCTTTATTTAAATAATCAGTTAGAAATGTTAATGTTTCACCGAGAATTAATTTGATCAGTTGAAGAAAATTATCTTTGCGCATTATCACTTCTAAAATATTGGTTTCTATAGGGATTTTGGTTGGTCCTCAGTGGCTTAACGGTCTATGAGCTCGCTAGCCTTGTAACCAGAATGTCCTGGATTGGAACCGTGGCGGTGGGTGCACACTGATGAAGAGTCCCAAACTAGGACGAAACAGCTGTCCAGTACTTCCAGGTTTTCTAGCGGTTCTCTAATTGATGTCAGCTCATGAGGAAGTCTAAACTCTAAATTCCACTCGTCACGATTTCCCACTAGAAGTGCAGGCCACTTTGATACTTACCATAAATAATGTAAAACTATTCATAGTAAGAATTTTTTCCGCTTAATATTCTGTCATTTTTCGGAAAAACAAATAAGTTCACTAATCGAAAAAAATATGGCTCACATGACTTCGAAGGTTATTCAATGATGATTGGTGACCAGCTAACTGTCTTTGAATAAGTTCATTTTATTTTTTTTACCCAGCCTGTAATCTACTTAGACAGGAGGGAGGATTTATTCGGCTTAGAAAGTGACATAATGAATTAAAAAAAGAAGAATAAAAATCGATCTACATTTCAATTTATCTAAATAATAAATAGTCGTCATTATTTACCAATATGACAAAAATGAAGTGAACACAACTCACACATTACTGAAATTTCTTTCTTTATAGTCTAATCACATCAATAAATAATTTGTGCACTTAACCTCTCAGTGAATAATAAAAGAAGAAGAAAAAGATTATAAGTGGATAGTGTTGACTCATTTATTTGCAAATCTATTGAACATTGTTCACACTAGTTGTTTAAATCAACTGAACGTTGAATAAGCAGAGAAGCAGTCATTTATGCATGTGACACTATTATCATACGGTTGTCAGGACTTAAATGAAAAGGCATGTCTGAACAACTAGAAGACTTAAATCAATCATTCAACAGTCAAAATAACAATAGTAATACTGAAGATAAAAGTCTCCCTGATGAAGGACTTGTTCTTAGTAAATATTTATCATCGAATCTGGGATTTATATTACTTGGAATATTACTTGGCATATTATTGTTATTAATATTTACCTGTCTACTTTATCGTCGATATCGAAGCCAGTCTGGATTATTAAAAAGTAAAGGCAACGTTAATAAGAATAAGAATAATGACAGTGATGATATTGTTGATGATGATGGTTATATCAGGATAAGTAATTCAGAGTGTACTCCATTGACACAATCTACAAAACATCAAATATCTGAGCCATATACGAAAACTGATAAGCTTAAATCTCAGTTATTTATGATGCAGAATTTATCTAATGATAAGACAACAATCTTTTCAATGGAAAATGAAAGTTTTGATAACACGGATAATGAGGTAAATGGATACGCGTATAATTCTGGTTATCCTACACGTCGTCGTTTAGCTAATTATGTTAAACCAAATGTCATACAATCGACACAACAATATGTTGAGGTAAGTGAAATGCTGATTGGTTAGTAGGATTATTTAAAACAATTAGTCCCTTTTATAAATTTTGATAGCGTTACTAGAAGACGGAGATTATCTGAAAATGTATGTGATGTATTTGTGCTATACATTTCGAACAATCTGATCACACATTTACTTGTCAAGTCAATATATGTATGGGAAAGTTAAATTAAACAAAGTGAGAGAAAAAGGAATTAAGAATAATTAACACAAACCTTTGGTAATCCAATCAAATAAGGATTACCAAGGTAGGTTAAGAGTAATAACAAACTGTTTTTGAATACACAGGGAGGGGGGCTTAAGTTTATGAATAGCTATAGCCTCAGTGTATTTCAATAAGCGCCCTTGACCGTTCTTATAGATGACCTTAAAGGCTGAGTTAACATCAATCTTATGGTTCATCTCGATTAGGTGTTTGGCTATAGACGAAGTTCGTAGTCTGACACCTGCGTCTACTGGCTTTTCATAATTCATTTGTTTTTCTAACCATTTTGGATATGCTCTCCCACCCTCATATGAGAAGCACGATTACTCCTCCTCATGTATGTGTGTCCACACACACACGAAAACTGGTAAATAGTGTGGGATGTGACATAATCACTTGTGCACTTTTGAGGCTTGCAGTGAAGCATATTTTTAGCTTTTTCCACAATTACAAGCTGGGTTCTACGGATGATAGGTTCTGCGGATGATCGAATTCAACCTTTGTCACAAAATCCTACTGTTTATTTCCCCGTTATATGGTAATTTGATGAAAACCTTTTTCTTAGGGGCGGTATGGATTGTAGATTTAGAGACTAGTTGACTTCTACACCTGTTTAAAGAATTTAAAGGATATCCGTTTTCAACAAGAGTATCCATCAATATTTCGTTTTTTTTTCTATAACATCAGCCGTGCAAATACGCTGAATCTTCTTAAATAGACACTTCACCAAGCCTCTTTTATACTGTAATGGATAGAAGCTGTGAAAATTAAGGTTCTGTCGTTTCCAAGTGGGCTTTCTGTAGACAGACCGTCTTATTGAACCGTCATCTCTTCGACTCAGAAGTATGTCTAAAAATGCAAGCTGGTTGCGACTTTCTTCCTCGCATGTAAGACTAATATGATTCTGTACAGAGTTAAGTCTGTCTAATAGACGACTAGCATCTTCATGATCGTCACATATCAAAATGATATCATCTACATATCTCCTATAGAAGGGCGATTTTGAAATTAAATCAAGGGATAAGTTTTCAACATAAGACAAGTACACGTCCGCAAACAAAGGTCCTAATGGACTCCCCATAGCAACGCCATCCACTTGTCGAAAATGTTCACCTTCAAACGTGAAATGGACGGTTTCAGTATATAATAGTAATAAATCTTTCAAATAAGTTAGAGGAAAAGGAAATCAAAAACGACTAGAAGATATATAGTCACAAAGAATATCAACAGTCTTAACCAATGGTACATTAGTAAACAAAGAATTAACATCAAATGAATAGATTTTCCTATCTTTTTTGTTCATATCTAAAAGAAAGTCAACAAGGATTATTTAACTTGTTATTATGTATTATTATTACTATTATTTGGATTCACAGTGGAACATAGAGCTTCAGCATTACATTGTCGTTTCATTCAGTACTCTGTAGGCCTTTCTAGTAACATACATGATTGTTCATACGCTTCTGTTTCATTCCCAGACATGAATTCCCCCCAGTGTCACCCTCAGAACTACTCTGAACTCATCGTTTCCTACATAGGCTTCACTCGAAGGTTTTCATGGTGTTAGATGCTACTCAATGATCTCCTGAGTGTATGCGCGTGTAATCCATGTCTAAATCCTTCACCATAAGATCCTTAAATTTAGAACTAAGGTGTTTAGTGTACTCACTTTGAGATTTTTCAACTCATACAGGCTTGAGAAAAAAGTGCTGTGTACTTAAGCCGTGTTCGAAGCACTTAAATCAAGTTAACACCTTAGATATCCTGCAGCATATGCTTACCAGGAGATAAAGTAGCTTAAAAAAATGGAGAAAATTATAACTTCTTCAAAAACTTGAACAAAACAACAACAACATATTGAAGCAACTGAGATAACAAGACTCACACTCACCAGATAGTAAGGTTGCTTGCCATCTGTTGAAAACTAGTCATATTGTTGGGGGGTGGGGTGGGGTATTCAACACTAAACGAAGGAATTATATGAAATGTCGAAATAAAAGTTCAAACTATTAAAGATGTTCAGACAGCTTGTGACAATTATTAAGGTGATTGAGTTATAAAAGAGTCCAGTTAGGATAGAGCAAATAGGATTAAGTTCATTTTCACAAATTTAACAATATCATCTAGAGGTACACTTCATTAGGCATACTTCGGTGGGTTTTTTCCCCACTGTGGATGTTACCATGGGGTTGTTGTCAATAAGAGTGATAAGCAAATAAACTAGGTGTCGTTCTGCATGATTAATTCAATGTGACAACAAGACATATAAGCAAACAATATTTAAATAGATTTATATATAAAAAATTTTAACAGTGATTTTGTGGATCAAATACTAATAATAATAGTAATAATATTGTGGTACATGTTTTGAACGTAATAAATAACGATGATTATAATGATAACAAAATATTGATAATATGGTTTGTGCAGGTGTTAAGAATAACGAAGATAGTATATGTATATACGTAGACAATTCAATAAATAAATAAATTAGGTCAAATTTTAAAAGTTACATTATACTAAAGGTGAAGTGGACAGATAATCAGAGTTTAAATAAATATCATAAAAGAACGAAGGAGAGGGGTGATAAGAAAGGGTGGGAGGGTTTTGAATGGAATTCACCTAGGCCAAGGGAGAGACAAAGGTAGGACAAACTTATTTTGTATGTGGGATTGTTCTCTCGAATTCCCATAGCTTCGGTTAAGTGTAAAAGACGGATTCGAATTCCGTTCGAAAAGCTCGATGGAATGCGATAGATAACTTTGAAGGCACTATTGTTGTCCACTTGGTGACCAGTATCAATCAAATGAGCCAAAAGATTTTTTTTAGATTTTTAGATTTACAGCTTGATTCCACACTGTATTTTTGGTACAAGTATGGAATTTTCAGCATGGATATCGGTAGCCAAAATTTCTCAGGCCGACCATAGATATCAGGTGTGCGCCGGCGTGGGGTCGAACCCCGGACCGTGTGCATGGTCGGCGAGAGTCCTAACCACTGTGCCATCAATGCACTCGTATGGATTTTATTTTACCTTTTCCAAACCATGAAGGAAGATGCTCATTAACGCGTTTGTTAAGCTGTCTAGTTGTTCACCCTATAGCTCTCTCCACAGGAGAAACTAAATTTATAGATGCACATCGAAGCCGCACAGGTAGCTTATCTTTCACTTGAGGAATCATAATTGGTCGGCTGGAAAATGACAAACAAAGGGTGGTGGCAGTATTAGTCCGTTCTATTGCTGTCGATAATTTTAAACAGTGGACTTCACTAGCCACATCCCCATTCAATTGCAGTTTCATGAACAGTTGTTTCTTTTTAACTCTTGTCAGTTTCTCTTTATTGCACTTGGTGTTCATGTGTCTCCTTACAAATCTACTAGGATAACCCATTTGGACCAACGTGTTTTGGATGTATCCTAACTCAAAAACCTGAAGAATATCTAATTGAAAACAACATTGTTCGTTTATATGTCTTGTTGTTACATTGAATTAATCATGCAGAACGACACGTGCAAATGTTTTCCAGGTCATGTTCAAATCGATAAGGCGAGAGGGAGTATAAGCGATTGAAAGTTAGATAAAATGCATTACGCTTCAATTATATCAAGTAGATAAACAATTACACATTAGAGAATATAAGAATAATCGCAAACAGAGTAATATCAATAGTAATAGCTATAATAAAAATAATAAGAGTGTTGAAGTGAGTTGAGATAATACTACTGACAAAATATAGTTTTAAATAAATCAAGAATAATTATAATAAGAGGTAGAATAGAGTGATAATAATATTAATAATAACAGTTACTAAGTAAAATGTATTATCATTGTAGATTCAGAGTGATGACCACCTACTTTTGTACACAGAGACATGGTTTATAAACTCGAATTGCATAAGCCTCTGCAATCGCAAGAATCTTCTTGTTTCTTTGTCTGCTGACAACAGTGAATGACTTGACAGCCTCGGTATCATGCCCATAGGTCTAGAAGACGTTTTGTTATTTAGCTCTGTGGCACTCTGCATTCAACATGTTTTTGGTCACAGACATTAAGTCGCACTTCATAGGTTTTGACTGTGTAGTCTCGTTTATAAAACGTGGAAGAAATCCGTTTTCCATTAGAATTTTTCTTGGAGGATTTGTCAGGACTAACATCAGGACTAAATATGTGCCGAATGCAAATGGCAGGCGATCAGGTCAGGTTTCATTTTCGACTAATATATATATATATATATAGTTGAATTTTAGCTTTCTCCGTCGATTGATTGGACCGAAGTGCTCGGTTTCCGGTTGACATGTCGGCTTCTTGAGCAGATGCTTTGACGATGTCTGGGCAATTAATTGGTGGATGGTGATTAGCAGTGGAATCCAGGATAAAGCACATTTCGTCCTATTTGGAACTCGTCAGCTGGGTGTACTAATTAAATGTCCAGACATCGTCGAAGCATCTGCACAAGAAGCCAACATGTCAACCGGAGACCGAGCACTTCGGTCCAATCAATCGACGGAGAAAGCTAAAATTCAATAAAATAATTAATGTGGCCTATTGTATAAGAGGTGGCTCTCGTGGCCCAAGTGGCCTAGTGGATAACGCTTAGGCTGGCGTTTGAAACTATGGTCACTGGGTTCGAGCCCCGGTGGGAACATCATCACTCATTGGGGAATGCAGGTACATCCAGTTGATATGTCCCGAATAGGATGAAATGCGCGTTGTCCTGAATTCCACTGCTAGTCACCATCCACCAATTAAATGTATATACATACGTATACGTTTGTACAACATGGTAATAAATTCGTTGAAAAGAGTCTCTTCTATGAATCACTTCTTTTCATTTTCTATGTTACTTATTTATCACCTCCAAGTTTTTGGTGATTAGTCCTCATTTTTTTTCACTTCTATTTTTAGTCTGCTGAATTGAAAAGAAAAACTGAAACTTCATGCCAACTGGATACATCGTATAATGACCAAGAAAAGTCAGGATCTCAGTTAGCAGTGGAAATGACTCGAAAAGCCATTCGTCGTTCCAGTAGTACACCAAATATGATGGTATGTGATCACATGATCATTTGAAATTTTATGTAGGCTAAATTAAATGTTACTTAAAAATGAGTGTTTTCTTTAAATATTTTATTGATTGACAGATAACTTATTAGATAATTACTACCATATTCTACCACATATCTGCACCTACAATAATGGCAAGTAACTGGATTTCTGTTTCATCCTAGTGTGGGACTCATCGACAGTCCATACCCATCTGAAAAACAAATCAAATCCCTAGAGACTAACTCTTGAAAACTAATCATCCGATGCTCGCTAGTCACTGGCTACAGGAAAAAGTTGTCTTCAATGGTGGACCAATGGGGTCCACGTGGTCAGGAGTGAGGACAAATACTAGCCATGAATGACATTGGCTGATGGCAGGTGTGCTAAAATCACGAATTGGTAGAAGTTAATACTCACAGAATGGCCGCTAAATCAGGTGGCAGTGACTGAATGGTCTATTAGCTTGACTTGTAACTGGAGAGTCCTAGTTCCGAACCCAGTGTGTGTGTGTGTGTGGGGGGGGGAGCGTGCTGACAATAAATCGCAAAATAGGACGATACTTTCTGGTTTTCACTGGTTCTCTAACTGATACTAATCCGTGGTCAAACTTGAACAACATATCCTTCAGTCAAAGCCCCCGATAATCTAGTTAAAAATGAAAACGTGACTACATTTTATTTCTCATACATTTCAGAATGGAATAACAATGACTATCCTTCGCTTTAGTTAACTGCTCTAAATGATAATCAATATTGTTTTGATATCTTTATCTTTTCGCTTTAATGTTCTTATTCAAATTCCGACTCCTGGAATTGTCAACAGAGATGTGGATCATTGTCTTAAGCACTCGATTTTCCTCCAGGAGGCCTTCTGGAAAGAATAAAAGATACACTGGTTACAGAACACCAGCTTAAACAAGCTGGACTCAGAAAAGGCAAATCGTGTGCAACTTACGCATCACCATCGAATAAAGCATAGAATGGCAGTCAAACCTCTACCTCAACTTCAACGACTTAGAAAAGGCCTTCAACAGCGTTGAGGGCAAAGTAATTTGGAAAGTTATTAGATTTGATAGTGTGAAATATTCCCATATTATGAATTAAAAGTCAATGTATCCGCAGCATAACTGGCCTTTATTGTAATGACCACAAATATTATATTTTATAATTGTAAGAACTTGAAGAGAAATTATTGAAGAGAATATTCTTCGTTCAGATTGACTTTTAATTTGGAAAGTGCTTCCACACTATGGTGTGCAGTACCCAAATCTTTATCAACCTGATTCAGCAGATATATGATAGTGCCAGGTATCACGTGACACACAACGGGAAACTCAGAGAGGCGTTTGAAGTAAATGCAGGAGTAAGACAAGGCTGGCTGCCTATTATCACCGATGATATTCCTAATTGTGGTGGACTCGATTATGCGTCAGGCTGTGTGTGAGTTGGAAGTAAAACGACAGAAATACGCTGGACCACTGAAAATACGATTCTGGAAGATCTGGATTTTGCGTGTGGATGACTTATGTGTGATGTCACACTAACTCGAAGACCTACAGGCGAAAATCAACAAATTGTCTGAAGAGGCGAAGCAGGCAGCGAAGACAGGACTCCAGGTGAACGTAGAGAACATGGCGGTGATGGAGATAACCGCGGACCACCATCACCACCACCAACAACAACAGCAAACAGCACAGGTCACTATTAACGGGAAATCTTGAAGGAGGTTACTTTATTTACTTATCTAGTGAATAGTATGATTTCAACTATATGTAGCGGAATGGATTAGGTTTTCAGAGTAATCCAGAAACAGAAGGGCAAGACAGATCTTCATCAATCTGAAATCAGTTTGGAAATCTTCTGGACTCCGTAGCATGAAGAAGGAGATTCGTATTTTCAATACAAATGTCAAGTTAACCAGTTCTTCTATGTGGATCAGAAACGTGTACTGCGCATTATGATTGGCATTTTCAATGGCCTGTTACAGACTCTTATCAACGGCTACGTTCGCTCGATGCTCATCGTCAGATGGCCAGAAAAAACTAGCGAAATGGAACTCTGGAAACGAACCATTCGATAACCTATTACTGAACCAGCCAATCTTCCGAATAAAATGGAGATGGCTTCGGCATACGTCGAGGAGACCATCGGATGACATCATGCGCAATGTTGGCCATCGCTCGAGTGGAATCCGAGTGGTAAACGGCGAGTTGGGTGTTTGGCCGAGGGTGACATGGAGGAGATCGTGTGGCGAGGAGGAGATGAGAGATTGTGGACAGTCGTGGGCCTATCTGAGGGGGACAACAAAGAATAGGACGAATTGGAGATGTATTATTGAAGCCTTATGTTCCACTTGGAACCCAAGGCAGCAATAATAGTAATAATAATAAGTATTCAAGAGTTGGTTTGTAAGGATTAGGTTTGTTCTTTTGAGTTTGACCTCGGATTGATATCATTTAGAGAACCATTGAAACAGCTGTCCAGTACCCCTTGGTTTCCAATGGTTCTCTAACTGATATCAATCCGCGGCCAAGCTCGAAAAATAATAATAAGGCCTCAGGTGGGATTTTCATTGCATTGACCTCAGCCTGGGGAACTGAGTATTAGTACCATCAGCCCTCTTATAATAAAATATGACTCATAGCCCAGCAAAGGAAAAATCTATTTCGGATAACTGACTTATAATTACTCACTTAAATAGTCTATCAGTTATATCAAGTTTCGAGAAAACTCGGTTATTTCAGTCTGTATCTCTCCTTAAAAGTCGGTAGACCAGAGGAACCCTCTTAATCAACCTGCTTCTCACTTATTATGCTCTTTTCAGCCAAAAGAAAAATGGGCATTTCTTTGAAATTCTTGGTCTGTGTTGTCATATTGGCTTCTAGCACGAACTCTCGGATGACGCTTTAGATTGGCATGATCTTATGCTGTTTGATGATGCTTAAAGGTGGAATTTGCCAGACAAATGTATCTTTTGACTTCCAGGTGTCGTCAAATCATCTTTTCTGGGAACCGACGTGTTGACAGAGTTCGAGTATTCCAGTTCAAAAAATATCAGAAAACATGAAATAAAAAGTGATAACTTTTGGAAATGACGATTGATACTCGTTGCATAATAGTTGGTTGCCGTGGTAAACTCGGTCAGGGGATAGCGCTGTTGGTGTTTGAAATGATGAGTGAGCGAACATTATCACTCGCTGGAAATTCGGGTACCTACATTTGATGAGTCCAACTCTGGATAATTGTGGTGGACAAACAAAAACTTGGAATCAGTTCATGAAGTCTTTGATCCACGTAGCTTGGTTAAGGTTTCTTGACTGGAATCCTCAGGATGCTAAGAACCATTAGCTAGCTACTACTGGTAATATGGCACAGATGCATTCACTCTTTGAGATATCGCATATCCATTAAGCCCCAAATCTTTATCCATGTTACTATTCCTTCACCCTTCCTCCCCCAATTTTATGGTCCTTTTCAATCCCTTTTTTCTGCCTTTATGTGTGGCATGTGCTACTGATAAGAAGATTTATCAGTAGTATATAAAGATGCCTTCATCGCAATAAAAATATCAAATAACGGAGGGATTCATTTGGCTTCAGATAGAGCGAATGATTCAGCATTGTGGCAAAACATAGGAGACAGACAAATAAGAAAAATTAACATAATATGAAGGGCTGTACTTTTCACCTGCATCCATGTTAGTCCATATTGTTTCAACTCCTGTTCACACGATCTTCTCCATGTCACCCTTGCACTGACGACCAACTCGCCGCTTCTCTTTTGGCCTGGTTTCACTCGAGCAATGGCCTGAAGCGCGATGTCACCCAGCAGCCTCCTCAGCGAGCGAGTGTCCAATCCATCTCCACTTTCTCCTGCATATTTCTTGGTTGGTGATTGGTTCTTGTTTTGTTTGTTCCCATAGTTTGGTGCTTGTTGGTGATTCCTTCCGGCCCGGTCATCTGATCTTCAGTATAGAGACAGTACAGACAGTTGTTAATAAGGGTAGCGTCTGCAACAGGCTGTTGGAGGTATTCTTTGTGACCCGCCCGCCAAGTTTCTGATCCGTATAGGAGAACTGACTTACGGACTGTACAGTCTGCTGTACTTCTGTTGAAATTAAGTCAGTCAGTCAGGATGAATGTTAATCCACAGTAAATCATATGATCACTGTCTATAGTTCAATAATTATTTTTCCTGGTTTTTTTATTCTTGTACTTTTAGAATTTAATGAATCAGCCAAAATTACTTGAGGCTGAAATCAATCATACATTCGATACTGTTGGATGTATTGCTGATACATCATTGGATGATTCCGAGTTATTCAAAATTGGTGAGAATGATGACAGCTATGGAGATATAACATTGACTGAGAGTACAGAAGACACGAATGATGATAACAATGGTGACAATAATGACACCAATGACGCCAATGAATTGTCTCAACACTTAAACACACATATCCCATTGATACCTATTAATCTTCCACAGTGGGCTATTGAAAGAGGCATACCAGAAAGAGGTTTTATTACATTCACAGTACAGATAGAAGGTGATATACAGAATATCAGAAACAGCGCATATTTATGCGTGCGTATTCTTGATGTACGTTGTGTACTGAGTAGAAATTTTGAACCAAAGGCAGGAAAATTCTATGTGAAAGTTCGACTTCAGCCAATCAGTAAGTAATTTCTGACATTTTGAGAATACTCTCATTATTTTTTAATACTTGTTTTGTGTCCTGATTAGTTATCGCTGACAATGATTGGTATTTAGCATGTGTGTTTTTGTGCTTAGTGTTGGTACTGACTGAATTCTACTAGTCAAGTTAGCAGTTTGGGGTTTGTAACTGCAGCACTGAGTGAAACTATTTGCCGTCTCCCTCAGAGGGGGGAATAAGCACTTCCTCTGAGGCTAGAGATATGCCTTTCTGATGAGGAATTCCTGTTGATCGCCTCGAAACACCTCACAGTAGTAGTTGTTATTACTTAGCTAGTCACAATGAACACTTGACAAAACAAAAGACGTAGCTCAGCGAAGAGGTCCTTTTTATGGAGAATTCATTTTGCGCTTTAGCTGTACAGTCGTATTTACATACAATCTGCTTTTCAAAAGCGACAAACTGTCACAAACATAGTTTTATCGTAACACCACTTCAAAATTGTGCAGTTTTTTAGGCGATTTATAGATAGTGCAGTGTAGATTGACAACAGAGATTAACGATTATTGTCAATTAGTAGCAAAGCAAATCAAAGTGCATGAGAAACAACTATGTTGGAAAAATCAAGAATAGTCTTACATATTCATATTAAATATTACATATTCAGTAAGGCTGGCATTTAATTAGTTGAGCGATGAATAAGTGTTTGGAAGTGCATCGGTGGCACAGCGGTTAGGACGCTCGCCGACCATGCACATGGTCCGGGATTCGATCCCCGGCCACGGACGCATTCCTTTACCTCGCTAAGTCAGAAATAAAAAGCTGGTAAAGAGGAAAGGTTGGGCATGAGGCTAGCAATCTCATCCTGTAAAATTAAACACTGCTACAGTAACTTCAAGCCACTAGCTTGAGGCCCTATGTTCCACTGGGAACGTGAAGGAAAAAAAGTTGATAAGAGACAACAGAATAAAAGACTGAAAATCAGTTGCAAAGAGGCATAAAACACAGAGATGATTCATGAAGAAAGCGATGGGAAAAATAAAAGATAGTACTAAGGCCATGGTAGTAAAAAAAGAGGCTGAATAAAACGTTTCGGAACAGAAAATTCAGATTTATCCTCAAGGAGTGATTGCTAAGGCTTTGACTGTATGAAGAAGATGTAGGGAAAATTCTTTCGAACGTCTTGGTCGACCGTCTAAAAGAAGTCACTGCTGATCTTGCGTGACCAGAATTAATAATTTGCTTTAGAGTTGAGCTGTTGACTGTTTTATGTCCTCCTTTTGGCCTTCTTGCTGATAAGTATTCATGGACACGTCTACACAACGTCCTGGTGGTGCGATCTATGTTCTTAACCCCACAGGGGAAAGTGAATTAGTAAATAGACATTGATGTCGCCAAAAGAGGTATTTTCTCTTTGACGTTTTGGTGAATAAGAGCATGCGTAGAGAATGTCAGGCGTAGAGATGCACCAAAGAACGTTCTTCGAACTGTTCTTGACAGGCGGCTTCAGAGTACCTCACTAATTGTGTCACCCTTGAATTTCAGATTTAAAATTAGCTGTTTTATTTGTATTACCAATTAAGATTGAGATTTTAATATATATGCACATATATTTACATTTTAGACTATAATAATAATGGAAAGAATTCAGTATCACTACTATCTTTGGATCAAATATCAATGAAATCATTGAAAACTTTATCTGATAAAATGGATATACTTTCAGTGAAAAGAAAGTCTACTGTAACGACTGGTCGTACACCTGTGAAACGTGCTTATCGTTCACCAGTCTTCCGACATAAAATTCGATTAAATTTACCAGCAGATATTGTTGAATGCATGACCAACTCATCGCAAACTGTATTCAATCAGTCAATGGAGTCGATTTCATCATCACATAGTGTAGAGTATTATGGTGTACAGAAATATGAGCTTAAAATTGACTTAAAAGAGCGTAGTGCTTGTAAAACAAATGATCTTCATGGTACTAGTACTGTTCAATATTTGCCACACTGGAAATCCTCTCAGATAGTTGGTACTGTACGTCTTCCTTTAACACCTAAAATGTGGCAATATCTATCAGAAGATCCTACGGATCATCGACGTTCTACGGTGATTGATTTGACAACATCAAAAGTGAAAGAAGAGGCTAAGTGTTCACCGGAAATACTTCCAAATAAAACATTATGGTTTGTGAAATGTTTACAAGTACCAGATGAAGTAAGTTCGAGTTTAACTGGGTTTTTGATTTTGCTTTTCCCGTTGATTGATTGGACCGAAATGCTCGGTCTCAGGTTGACATGTCGGCTTCTTGTGAAGATGCTCCGACGATGTCTGAGCATTTAATTAGTATTTAATTGGTGGATGGTGACTAACAGAGGAATCTAGGACAACGCGCATTTCGTCCTATTTGGGACTCGTCAGCTAGCTGGATGTACCTGCGTTTCCCGGTGAGTGATGATGTTCCCACTGAGGCTCGAACCCAGTGACCATAGTTTCAAACTCCAGAGCATTATCCAATAGACCATTTAAATTCTAATTCAATTCCCAGACATCGTCGAAGCATCTGCACAAGAAGCCAACATGTCAACCGGAGATCGAGCACCTCGGTCCAGTCAATCGACGGAGAAAGCTAAAATTCAATTAAATAATTAATGTGGCCTATTGTACAAGAGGTGGCTCTCGTGGCCCAAGTGGCCTAGTGGATAACGCTTAGGCTGGCGTTTGAAACTATGGTCACCGGGTTCGAGCCTCGGTACATCCAGTTGATGGGTCCCAAATAGGATGAAATGCGTATCCTAGATTCCACTGCTAGTCACCATCCACCAATTAAGTAGTAAGTTTGCGTTGTATGCAAAATGTTTCCTAGCAAAAAAACAAATGGTTTTTTCTTTGAATTTTTTTAGTATTCAGTCTTTTATGGATCTCAAAGTGTGGAAAAGCAAAGAAGTTGTTCAGACTTCCTTATTTTCAAATGATCCTTTATTTAGGTAACAAACATTCCTGGAAAAAAGGTATTTAAAACTATCCACATGACGAAACTGAATATCATGAAAAAAATGAGTAAAAGCTGATCATTAGTCGCGAACATGGAGAGACAGATTTTCTGGAATTCTAGTGAGGAGTAGTGACAGGTGGAGTTGTTTAAGTCGGACGTAAGGATAGATACTCAGTGTAACTGTATATTGCCCATTGACAAAAATTTGAATTCACTGGTCACTGGATACTTTCCAAGTGTTTGGATTGTTAACGGGCTTCCCTTGCAAACTTGAAGTCGTGGATTTGTTCTTCGATCGGGTCATGAATGTTTACTGTCGAAGAGTCCTGAAGTAGGACGAAGCAAATGTCTTCTGACTCCCGGTTCTGTAACCAGTGTCAATCTTTAATCTGACTTGAAAACGGAGAGTTAGATTATAATGGTGGTTTGATCCATTTCGGTTTGATACTACTTATCAATGAATATGGATGATCTCTTCTGCTACACCAGTTGAGATCTATACTGTCTATTGAAAACATGATAGCACTGTGATATTTGATAAGAATTAGGTCAGGAATTATGTATTGCTTCTATGTTCCATGGAGTAATAAAGGTGTAAGCGATGGTAGAGAAAGTGAGTTATATACTCTTGTGGCAAAAGATGACTTGAATGAAACACGACGGTACACCCAGACACACACAAAAAATGACACTTGAAACTCTACTCGGGTTAACAGATAACATATTATCGCGATATTATTCAGTCATTTAGATAATGTCATGATCAAGATCAACCAGCTTGCTTTGACTTTCTTTTGTGTAGACATTTATTTTATTAGATTAGATGAAAATTTACGTTGACGTTTGAGTAAGAATGAAGTGATTTCTTTACAGACTAATAGAATGGATACCTATTTGCCTGTTCGTCACTTGTAGAATGCAATTTCACGAGGAGAGATCACCTTTGGAATGCAGTATAATTCAGACAATGGTAGTTTGACAATTAGTCTTTTCAACTGTGCTGCGATGAACTTACCCAAGGGAACAAGTAAGTTTTTTAAGAAAGTTTTGATGAAGTTTTATAAATTTTATTCCTCTTTTCCACCCCGTTACGCGTAATCGCTTATTGATGGCTAACAGCGGAAACCGGAGTGCGCGTTTTAACCCATTCGGGATTTTTAAAATGGATGCACCTGCGACCCCAATGAGTAATGGTATCTCCGGGGGGGGGGGGGGTTTGAATACAGCACCCATGGTTTCAGAAGACAAAGTGTTATCTGTTGGGCTATTGACCTTCAGAAGCCACCTCTAGTAAAATGAGCACAGTCATTGTTTAACGGGATGGTCATTCTAAATTTTCAGATGATTTATTGTATTAAATCGAAATGCTCGGCTTTTGTTGATCATGATCAACCGAATAAGATCATCTCAATCTTCAGACATAATCGAAGCGTCCTTACAAGTAGCTGACGTGTGAACAGAAAGCGGATATTTCAATGTAATAAAAATCAGTCAATGAGAAATACAAAGATACATAAACAAGTGGAAATTGATAACGCTGCTCAGTGGTGATTTATTTCGATCTATTCCATGAATGTACTGTTTCAAAGTATGATAGTTTGAGCTAGTGAATCACTCTTATACACATTTCTGCCTTATTTTATCTGAGGAACCATGAAATACTCCAAGATTGTCATTGGATACAATCATATGATGAAATTGAGTGACGCTATTTTTTATAGTGACATTCGTAAAGAATTCATCGCATATATATCAAAAGCCTCAAGAGTTTAAATGTAGGCGATGAAAATCTTCCATAATGACTGAATTTCCCGGTTACTAAAGTTTTGAAAAGACATTTCATACTTTATGTTTTGAGTTTATTGAACGCTGCAACTTGTGAAGTCTTAATTCATTCTTCCTTGGCAGATTGAAAGAGGTGGTTTTTCTTTTAGTCCATAGGTACCTTTACTTCCTTCGACAGTTTCTGCTATGCTGCTGTAAGCAAGTCTTCCGAGGTTCCTGTGTCCGTCCTTGGCGCTTTGGAGAGGATTTTCTCTAAGCAGGCTCCTTTTACGGCTTCATTTGGATCATCGCCTTCAAGACTTCTGATTTTGTTGAAGGCTTGATGTTCACTGGTAGTTTCGAATCTTCTGGCTGTATTTCTTGACAAGTTGTAGGTGGTGGTCAATTATGAAATCTTTTAAAGTGATCGGCCTGGCGTTTCCTTTATTTCACCTTCTTGAAAACTAGTCAGATTTTATTCACTATCTTTCACTGTCTCCATCTGCTGTGATCTGTTACTGGATAGCGCATTGGTTAACTGATATAGAGTTGATTGATTTCTCTTGCCTGTGGCCCACTCATACTTTTGAAAGCGTCTTTTGTCATTCCTAGAACTCTTCTTCGCTCCTTTGGCTACTGAGGCACAGCTTATATCCAGTTTCTGATTTTTTAAAATTTGATCCCTACATTGGTTCATCTTCAGTTCCCCATCCACCTCTCCTCTAGCTGCTTCTAGGTGTCCAAAGACAGTCATTCCTTGTATTGCCCTTACTTCTTGTCTAAGATGTTTACACTGGTTTTCTTCTGTGTCACTTTCAGTGAGTTTCTCTGACCTCTACACCCATGACGGATACTTACTGTCTGTCCCATACTGTCTGCCTTCCGTCTGAAATTCATAGTATCCACTCGAATTTCGGTGTCAACTCCTACCCTCGAGATTGTTCACTACTGTTTTCATTTGTCTGTAAATATGCTTCTTCATCATCTCCACTGCGTCTCCACTAGACTGCTTGGGCCATAAGAGCCATCTATTGTGCAATCGGTATCAGTTATTATTATGGTGTATAATTATCACTTTCCAAGCTTTTGAGTTTAATCTTGCTATCATCATCTTAGGAAAGATTGGTTTACACTGTGTGATGCTCTCAGTGACATCCTGATAGCCAGGTTGTGGTTATCGTCTGAGTGACTAAAAGAAATAAAAGAAATTTCATGTTAGGAAATTGCAGAATGCACTTCTCCTTCTTGCAGACTCTAGATATTTCTACAGCATATTTTATCATTTCTTATGCCGTGTCAGCAGTCTCATTAACTACAAACATGGTTTGGACACTGCATATCTTTAAGTCTACTTTTGCCTTCATCGAAAGAAGACATATCAGCTAACTGACTTGCTGAAGGCTTCCATCAGCCAGCCTCATCCATCCACTAATCGAGAAGTCTTTGCAATTCCAGAGACTAGCGTAATTTGACCTTTTTCTGTGCTTTGAAGTTTCAGTAGCGGTAGGATTTTTATTTCCCGAGGTGAGATAGCTAACTCCACGCCCAACCTTCCCTTCTTGATGGGCTTAGGACTGACTGGCAAACTAAGTGCTGTTTCCTCCATCAGAACGTTTGTTGGTAATCTGGACAGAAATTTCTCTCTTGATTTTTTGAAAGACTAGTTTAGATCTTCAGTTTATTTTACAATTAGATTAGTGGTGTTCACTTTGTTCAAAATTACCGTTTCTCTGAAATCCATCTGTTTATCATATAAAAATGGTATAGAAATGAAATTTCCCTCTCTTAGTGATAATTCAAACTGAATTTCTCGTTTGATTTGTAATTATCAGTTTAAGATGGTATGAAAATTAAATTAGTTCAAAGTTAATAAACAGTCGCCTCATTCTTGTTCTTTGATTGGACACCAGTGAGTAATTGGTGCAATGTGTCTAGTCCCTTATTTGGTGCAGAGTGAATTCTGTCAATCAGGTTGGCAATGTGGCTACCATTCTAGGTTGTTTGCCATCCCTGTACGCCTTGAATTGTCGATATTAGTTGGTTGAAGACAATCGACATCGTGATGGCAAGCCACCTAGTGGTATGGTGACCACATTTCAAACCTGACTGATAGAATTCAGTCTTCACCAAACAAAAGACTAAACACATTACACTAGTTATTTACTGGCATCAAAGCAAAGTATCCAATACACTCCTACAGTATGTCAATCGCGAACCCGAATAGTTCAGTGGTAAGGTCTGTGACTACAGCACCGAGATGAAACTGGTTCAAATCTTAGAAGTGACATGAGTTTCTTCAATGTGGTTGCAGATACACCTTGCTGACTGGTGAGTGCCAACTAGCACGAAACGTAGGTCAAGTAGGGCTTCCTGTCGAGTGCATACAAACATTTGGTACCAATCACTCTTATTCTTTTGACCGATTTTATTTTATAGTATCCATCTTTGTTAGACCACTCAAAGTTTGTACAGTCAGTTAATTTACTTATGTGGCACTAAGAAGATGAATGTCGTCAACGAGATCTCTTCCCGTTTAACTTCTTTCTAAAGTCGAAGAGTTATTTAGCCAAGGGGTTATAAATATGCAAGGTTAATTTACACCATAGGTCAGAGGTTATTTGTTTATTAGTAACAAAATGAGTCACAGTGCATGAGTAATAGGAATGTCTGATAAATAATGAAAAATGTTACGCAATCTGGAGATATTTGATAACTGATTAGTTAAGTGATGAATCATCATTCGAAAATAATTGATATGAAACAAGAGAACAAAGCATTGAAGATAGGTTTAAAAATTTTTTTGGTGAAATGATTAATTAGAGTTTATTGTGCAGCGTATCAGAAGAATAAAACTGACACTAAGGGCATAGTAGCGAAAGACGGTGAATAAAAGGTTTTTGAACGCGTAGTTCAGGTTTTTCCATCTTATGGATTGTTGAAGCTTCGATTGCATACTGAAGAACTTTTTTGAACGGATTGATCTTACTTGAAGTAATTCGGTGGATGGTGACTACTAATCGAATCCAGAGTGAGCATTTCGTCTCACTTTATGACTTCTCAGCTGGATGCACCTGCATTCTTCATTGAGTGAAGCTTGAGCCCAGTGCCCATAGTTTCAAACGCTAAAACATTCTCCACTAGACTGCTTAACACTTAATTCAATTTGAACTTCCGCTTGATTGATCTTACCTTACGTATGTACGACTCTGAGTTAAGTCTCCACTAATGGCGATTTCGCATGGCTCATAACATATTCGTTACAAGTTGAATGCTTTAGTAATTTCTAATCATCGCAGATGTTTGAAACTCCCATAGCTTTCAGAAATTATGAATTATCTGGAAAGCACTTGCTCAAAACTACACATTCAAGCAAACACCTACTGCATTGTAGATATACTGCAACAGTTCATCTCCTTTTACAAATAAGGAAAATATTAGAAAATATTATAAAACTATAGGAACAGAGGTCTCATGGAAAAAAATTTGTACAATAGTTGCTGTTATTTATTTACAGACTATAAAGTAAGTTTTCTTGATTGAACACTAGTCAGTAACTAGCGTAATGTGTCTAGCCCTTTGTTTGGTGCAGAGTGAATTCTGTTAGTCAGGTTTGCAATGTGGCCACCTTTCTAGGTTGCTCACCATCCCTGTACGCCTTGAATTGTTGATATTAGTTGGTTGAAGGCAATAGGCAGTAAGACCTGCTTGACAGGCGTTTTGTGCTAGATGACACTCATCAGTCAGCAAGGCGTATTCGCAACTGTGCAGGAACTCAGGTACCTTCTGAGATTCGAACCAACTTCATCCAGTGCTTCAGTCAGAGACGTTACTAACTGGTGTCCAATACAGTCCTAAAGAAGGTCTGTCACCAGCTGGAATAGCTCAGTGGTAACGTCTTTGACTGCAGCACTGGGTGACGTGAGTTCCGATCTCAGGAGAAAGATGAGTTCGTTGAAGGTTGTAGATACGCCTTTCTGACTGGTGATTGCCAACTAGCACGAAACCTAGGTCAAGCAGGGCTTCCTACTGATTGCCTCCAACCATCTAATATGACATTTGTCACTTCACAGAATACCCTCACTAAATATGATATGGTTGAATTTCTATATTTTGCCGCTTGGGCATAATTTCTCATGGAATTAATTCTTCTGGATCTACCGGAATAGATTCGAGGAGAAAGTTTCAAATAGAGATGATGTTCATTATCTGACTAGATGACTTTTGCCAGTTGGTCGACAGAATTATAATGTCTATCAGCAATATTGTCAGTCAGCAACCTTCAAATTCATTTTTGAGAAGGAAGCCCAGGGAAGAATAAGGGGAGGGAAAATAAAGAAGACTTGTAGAATGCATTAATTAATAGGTCGTAAGAGAAGTTATACCATAAAGATATGAGACGACCGATAAAGATGGATTATATTCGATTTATTTCCTATCACAGCATTGTCAGTATTACAAGAATCATAGAGGTGAATCAGTCCAGACAAGTGTTATTCACTCCTAAAACTAAAATTTACAATCTGACATTTAGAAGGGTTCAGTTTGACATCATATGAACATGACCACTGGTAAACCTGAGATATGAAACGATTCATATCAGAAACTGAATCAGTAATTATCGGATCATTAGCATATTTAATGAAACTGGCTTTAGAATAGTGTAATCATCAATAATACAATGAAAATAAGAAGGGGGGTGGAGGTTGAAATTTGATAGAGCGAAAAATGACATTAAATGAGGAACAGGTTAGTTAAGTATCCATTTTATAAGTACGAAGAAAGTAAAGAGGGGATGAATATAATACATACAAGAAACATGCTAAGAATAATATCAGCGAAGCCAACAGGTATGTACTACTGATAAGAATTATCAGTAGTGCATAAAGAGACGTTCATCGGGATAAAAATATCAAATAACGAAGAGATAGGTTTGACTTCAAAGAGATCAGATGATTCAGCATTGCGGCAAAACATGGGAGGCACGAAAAGAAGACAATGAAACAGAATAAGAAGGGCAGAAGTAGCACAAAATGGACAATCTGTGCAAATGACAATTTGAAGATAAGGTGTACATAATTTCACAGGAGAAAGTTAATTTATAAGCACTCACTGAAGTAGCCCATGGACGGCAGTTTATCTTACACATATCTGATGACTATTTTCTCACTGGAAAAAATAATTTACGTCTCAGATGAAAAAGAGATGCTTTTCTGCACAACAGAGGTTGGCGGTTTTTCAGCCGTAGAATAACCTTTAAATTCCAAACTCATAAACTACAACTTCCTTGGAGTATGTGTGAATTCTTTTGGACCGCTGTTTAACTTTTATGTTTATGTTGTGACCAGTAGGGTGTAGCAGGTTAGGTGGGATGAAAAATATTCACCCGTGGCATTAGCTGGTGCCAGTCGCGGTATATCGTGAATTGGCAGAAGTTGGAATTCGTGAGCCACCAGGCTGGGTCCCAGTGGCTTAGTGGTCTACGATCTAGCCTTGTAACCGGAAGGTGTTAGATTCGAACGCCGTTGAGTGCGTACTATGAAGAGTCTCAAACTAGAACGAAACATCTTTCCTGTACTTCAAGGTTTTCCAAGGGTTCTGTAAGCGATGTCAGCCCATGATGAAATCCTATGGCCAATCAAATCCCTGTAAACCAACACTAGAACTTTATATTCAATTATTGGTTTGTAGGGATTTGGTTGATTGGTTACAATTATACCATATAAAGAGGGGACATCAGAAACCCTACGTAGGATTCTAAATAAAGCAGGAATTAGGGTGGTTTTTAAACCTACAAACTCACTCAGGGACAAGCTGTGTAGGTTAAAGGACCCAGTTGACCCATTTAGACAAAATAATATAATTTACAAAATACCCTGCAATGATTGTGAGTTAGGTCAACTACATAGGTCAAACTAGTAAGTCAGGGGTAGTCAGATTATCAGAACATAAGAATTTAGCTAAAGTAAGAATGATTGACCCCCAGAAGACAAATAATTTAGAAAAAAGGAAACCAATTGCAATGCATGCATTAACACGCAACCACACAATAGGGTGGGAGAGGGTTAAAATTCTAAAAAGTAATCTGGATAGGTGGAGAGAGAGGTTGATCACTGATTTCTTGTTCATCGAGTCTACACCAAACCTATGCAATAAGAATGGTTCACCACTCATACCTGAAATATGGAAAATACTACTGCAAATCAAATCAAATGAAAAATAATGGAACTATATAAATGAATTTAGGAAGTCATGTGAGTACCTTGATATGATTATGAGCAACAATAAATTGTGCTCGAAACGTCATCAGTAAACATTACTGTATAACACTGTGAGACTTTATCAAAACAAAAATTTGCCCATAATGAGTGGGAAGTCGTGACCAGTAGGGTGCAGCACGTTGGGTGTGAGGACAAATACTCGCAGAAGACATTGGCTAGCGGTTGCGCTATATCGTGAATTGGCAGAAATTAGAATTCATGGGCTGGCCGTTGGATCGGGTCCCAGTGGGTTAATGATATACGAGCTTGCCTTGTAACCAGGAGGCCCTAGGTTCGAACCCCGGTGGGTGGGTGCTACTGAAGAGTCGCAAACTAGGACGAAGCAGCATTCCAGTACTTCTAGGTTTTTCAATGGTTCTCTAATCAATGTCAACTTATGATGAAATCCTGTAACTAGAATGCTATGTTTTTATCGATAAACTTCGCTAGGTATCGACTTTGTATGAACACTTGTAGAAATCTTTGCAGTTTTGTGTTCTCCATTGGTATCATTGGTGAATATCTTATCTAATGCTTTCAATCGTATT